AATGCAACCTCCACCCTAGTATGCTATTTAAAAAAAAAAAAGAAGTTAATTATGTTAAAATGAGGGTAATGGAGGGGCGCAGCCATGCGTGTAAGACGCTGGTGCGGTGGATTTACACTTTTCAAAAGGCCCTTTCACGATTTTTAACTGTTTTGAAATTGGTGCTGCGATGGACCTCATGCAACGTAAAAACACGAAGGAAAAATGTTTTTTTTTTCGGCCATTCGGATTAGTTAAGATGTTATAAGCGAATTAAAATTACAAAAAGGAGCAAACCATTTCTGCTCCGTGACACAGTCGGAAAACAATTCAATGATTGACGGGTTGGAGCGAAGCGGCTGGCAAAGGGGCTGCGGGTTAGGATATATAGCTCATAATTGCCGCGCAGAGGACGAGCACGCATCATCGTAAATCGTCGGCCTCGTCGCTAAAGCCCCTCGCATGGTGGTAAGTTCAGGCTCCGAGCACCATCTGCGTTACCGATGGACCTGAGCTGTTTATACTTCTGCGTCGGCAAACCCAACGCGCTAGGGCGTCGAGCGATGTTCGTCGACATCTACTTAGCCGCGCTCCGTCATAAAATCCAGCGCGGTGAGATCAAAACAGCGATTTTGTGCAGTGATTTGCACCGTGTTAGGTTCAGAACAAATGCAAATAAGCATTCCTTTTTTTTTTTTTTTTTTTTACCAAATGTAACAAAACAACCTGCGAATAAAGAAAAAAAAAATATCCCAACGTCGCGTCTGTCAAAGTATCCACCGGCCTGCTTCGATGGAGTCGTTGGAATCGCGTTTCGCAGCAGCCTTTCACGTTGATTTCCATATAACATCGAAGGAAGCAAGTGATCCCTAAATTACGCTATTTACGCGTTCAAAATTGTATCGTGCTCCGAATTGACACTAGGGCTTGAACTTTCTTTTTATTGCACACCTCTTCTGCATTTGGCATGTGTTGTTTCGAGCGGGAACGGCTGCCGGAGAGATACGAAGAGCACATGATCATAAATACTTCATACACGAAGTCGTCCTAAAATCTACTCAACTCTACCTTTGGCTCGTCATCGAGTTTCGAACTTCTGGCACTTCGTGAAAACGCTCCCGGCTCGTTAGGCCTGCGCAGATTCTCTGGGTAGCGCGTAGAACCGCCCACGTACTGAATCCGCCCAATCGAGTGTGCGGACGTTGTGGACACCAACAGGCATATACGGAGACGCCAAAGTGAACGGAGAGAATAGCACACGAGGCACGGCAGATTCAAACCGCAAAAATAAGCGCCGCGCACTCACTCCCATTAAAACCGACACGCGGATTCCCGATGGGACGACGAGGCGCCCGCGAGAAGGATAGCTGGGCAGCGCTCAATCAGCTCGTAAGTCTTTTGCGCATTCGTGGCGCCGGCTGGTTTGTTTCTCCTTGTTTTTGCGTCTTGTTTTTGTTTTCTTGTTTCTGCACATTTGAGATATAGTTTTCTGAATTTTCTATCGTTCTCGCTCATTAAGAACTCTTTCTTGGAAGAATGACGATGATCTACGAAGATGTGCACGCTATTTAGCCCAGATAAGGAAAAAGACGTCTGACGCTTTTTGCCGATTGCCATTCACAAAATGGTTACCAGTGATACCATTGGTCGTGCGTTTTTAATAATATTTGTCGACACCGGGCTGTTTTTGCCTGGTCGAATTAAAATATGATGCCCTAATTTTTTGTGGCTGCTACTTGTTCCCGGAGTAGCTCTAACCCCTAGTGATGTGAAAGCATAAATAGGTCAGAAGCTCGAATCTCATTAGGGGGCCCTTTTAAAGGGACGGTAAACCAAAATTTTGATTAAAAAAGTGAACGCCGTTTACAACTCCCTGTAACGCCGAATCGGAGCGCAGCTCTTGAGGAAGAGGAGGGAAGGGTACTGAGGGGAGGGCAGACCCCTTCTCCTCCTCGTCCTCCTCCTTCTCCTCCTCCTCCACTCATTGTTTAATATGCTCCGGGGAGGTCACCTGACCTCGGGGGGAGGGGGTCACGTGACCTCGGGGGGAGGTGTCACGTGACTTCGGGGGGAGGAGGGTCACGTGACCTTGGTGGGTCACGTGGGGGTCACCTTGGGGGTCACGTGACCTTGAGGTGACCTTGGGAGGGGTCACGTGACATTGGGGGTTACGTGAACTTGGGGGTCACGTGACCTTGAGGTAACCTTGGGGGTCACGTGACCTTGGCTACGCCGACGCCGACGCTGCTCAAGCCGGAAATGGGCGCCTAAGAGCTGCACTCTAAAAAGTGAAAGCCGTTTACAAATCCCTGTAACGCCGAATTGGAGCGCAGCTCTTGAGGAGGAGGAGTGAAGGGTACTGAGGGGAGGGTAGACCCCTCCTCCTCCCCTCATTCTTTAATATGCTCCGGGGGGGCGGTCACGTGACCTCGGGGGGGGGGGGGTGTCACGTGACTTCGGGGAGGGGGGGTCACGTGACCTCGGGGGGTCACGTGACCTCAGAGGGGTCACGTGACCTCAGAGGGGTCACGTGACCTGGGGGTCACGTGGGGGTCACCTTGGGGTCACGTGACCTTGAGATGACCTTGGGAGGGGTCACGTGACCTTGGGGAGTAGACCACGTGACCTCGGGGGTCACATGACCTCAGAGGGGTCACGTGACTTGGGGGTCACGTGACCTTCAAAGGGTCACGTGGGGTCTTGGGGTCACGTGACCTTGAGATGACCTTGGGAGGGGTCACGTGACCTTGAGATGACCTTGGGAGGGGTCACGTGACCTCGAGGGGTCACGTGACGGGAGTCACGTGGGGTCACGTGACCTTGAAATGACCTTGGGAGGGGTCACGTGACCTGGAGGGGTCACGTGACCTGGAGGGGTCAACGTGACCTTGAGGTGACCTTGGGGGTCACGTGACCTTGGTTACGCCGACGCCGACGCTGCTCAAGCCGGAAATGGGCGCCTAAGAGCTGCACTCTAAAAAGTGAAAGCCATTTACAACTCCCTGTAACACCGAATTGGAGCGCAGCTCTTGAGGAGGAGGAGGGAAGGGCACTGGGGGGTGGGTCAAGTGACCGCAGGTGGCGGGGGGGTCACGTGACCTTGGGGGTTCACGTGACCTTGTGGGGGTCACGTTACTGTCGGTTGTCACGTGACATCCGGGGGTCACGTGGCGATGCCGATGACGTCATCAGCGGCGTAACTGGTGAAGTCACTGATGACGCCATTAGTGATGATGACGATGCGGATGCCGGTGATGTCATCAGTGACGTCACTGATGACGTTATCAGTGGCGATGACGTCAACGGGGGTCAGGTGACCTGGGAAGGGAGTCACGTGACCTCTAGTGACCCTCGTGGGGGTAACTCTCGTGCCCCTCGTGAGGGTAACTCTCGTCACCCTCGTGAGGGTAACTCTCATAACCCTCGTGAAGGTAACTCTCATAACCCTCGTGACCCTCGTGACGGTAACCCTTTTGAGGATAACTAACACTTGTAGCCCTCGTGATCCTCGTGAGGGTAACCTTCGTTAGAGTAAGCCTCGTAACCCTCACGAGGGTCACGAGGGTTACTCGCGCTAACGCCGACGGCGACCTCAGGGGTCACGTGACCTCGGGGGGTCATGTGACCTTTGGGGGTCACGTGACCTTGGGGTGACCTTGGGGGTCACATGATCTTGGGGGTCACGTGACCTTGAGGTGACCTTGGGGGTCACGTGACCCCGGGGCGGTCACGTGACCTCTCGTGACCCTCGTGGGGGTAACTCTCGTGACCCTCATGAGGGTTGTTATGATGTCATGAGGCTTTCTGATCTTAGAAGAAGAGGACATCCAGTGAGCACGCTCGTTGGAGGTGGCGCGCGCTGTTGCGTTTGGAACTGACGAGCATTCGCCATAGCTGTCGCTTTGATCCCGCATGTATTTATTAAACAGTTTGCTTAAACCATCCTCCTCAGCTTAACTAGCAACATAACATGGTGTAAGAAGTGGTGAGCAGCTCAACGTCCATATTTTTCATTTAAGAAGCAACCGCAGCAACAATATGGCATCTGCTTTCCTACAACCGCCGGCTCTGTTCCACCTGGTGACGACCCAGCAAGAGCATGGGAGGAGTGGAAATTATCGTACCTTATCTTCGAGGCAGCCTGTGAATATGCATCGAAGCCTATCGCAACTCGAAAAGCTTTTCTGCTCCACTGCCTTGGACCTCAGGCAAGACGAATTACGCAAACCTTTTCGCTGCAACCAACAGGAGATGGTCAAAGCGGGCAAATAGAGAATGCAGTAGATTACATACTGCACGAATTTGATAAACTGTATGCACCTTACAAAAGCGTGACACAAGCAACAGCCATTTTTAACACAATGTGCCAAAAGCCAGAACAATCCATTGACGAATTTGTAACTGAGCTAAAACTGCAGGCTCAGAAATGCGACTACGGAGCTCAAGAAAACAGGCTCATCTGTAATCGTATCATCATTGGGATACGAGACGTGGCTTTGCGCGAACGGTTGCTTCGTGAACCGACTCTAAACCTAGACAAGATCATTTCAACCTGTAAAGCAGCTGAAATCTAAAAAAAACACGTGAATGATATTCAGAAAACTGAAGACGAAGTTAGAGTTGATGGACTCTATCGTCAGCCATCCAGCTTCAGAGCAGCGCAACGAAGTTACCGACCATGCAGACCACAAGATGACCAATCCAGCAACCGACAGCAAATTTCATGTTCGAGATGTGGTACGTACCATCAACCCCGAAACTGCCCAGCTTACGGAAAGCACTGCCTTTCATGTGGAAATTTTGGACATTTTTTCCGAATGTGCAACCAGACACAGCAGAAAACCTACGGATATCGACGTGTTTCTGCAGTAGAAGAAACTTCCAACTCATTCATGAACAATGACCGCAATGAAACGATCTATTTGGGAGGCATAACAATTGGGCCTCTTTCATCAACCAAAGCAACCAAGTTTGCGTAAACTGAGACAGAGCTGGAGAGGCGGTCAAAGAAAAAAAAGAGCATGCTGGCATCTCGCCCCGAAGAGGCACAAGGCCTGATTTCAGAGTTGGTGTTGGCAACGGCAGAAATGCAGCGAATGTCTTTGGAGCATGAGAGAAATATCGAAGCGAGCTTTGGCCGTGAGCAGGCCCTTCAACGCGAGTGCAAGGCAGCTTCGGCTCTCCTGGGGAAGATGCAAGCGCAGCAAGCAGAATTTTCTTATGCCAAGTATCAGGAGTCTGAAGCATTGAAAGCCCAGTTAGTTTCTCTAAGTGGGGATTTGTCAAAGCAGCTGGAGCTTGTAGATGACAAGGTGGAGGAAGCGAACACCCTGAAGGAGAAGTTTGAAGCATCTCAGCTTGAGCTCGAAAGGTTTTCTGCCGAGTACTGCATCTTGCAGGATGTCCTTCTTCAAGGCTGTGGTGAGGACTTGCCGCTAGTTCAGAATGATTCCGAACAACGAGAGTTCAGTGCCTTCCAGTACCTCAAGAAGCTGCTGGACATCGCAAAACGCAAGAGAGAGGCCCTGGAAAACCGGCTTGCTAAAAAAGAGGAGCAGTTCAATCTACTTCAGCAAAACTATCAGTACTTAAAGGACCGGTACCAGTGGCCGTTACAAGATCTCGGGGCATTTGTGCGGAGCATCATCGAAGCATATGTCCGGAGTATCATCGAGCACACCAACCAGTCGTCAGAAGCTGCAGTGTTTCTTGAATCAAGTCAGCTGGAAGACTTGAACCGTATGCTGGCAGTGCTTCAGGAACGGGTCACATCCTTGACAGTTAGGAACGAGTTCCTCGCTCAAGAAAGTCAGCAGTGGAAATCATTTTGTAAAGATGCGAGTAAAAAAATTAGATGCGTGTCTAATGAAAGTCACCTCTGGCAGCAGAGACCCGAAAAGGTGGCGGAGACTTTGAGAGAGAGAGAGAATGCCGTTAAGTGTAACAATTCGTCGCAAACGGAAGGAGACGGAAGCTCCTTTACCGAGAAGGCAGAAACAGAATGCGAGAGGTTAGACAAGAAAGTCAGCAGCCTCCTAAAACGCAACGGAAAGCTAGAAAGCGAAGCCGACATTTTGTGGTCAGAACTTTCCTGCCTGAGAGGCAAGCTGAGATGCTCGTCAGCGACAAGCGTTTTCAACAGCTAGCTGAGAACTTAAAACAGGCACGACATTGCCTCGAGAAGGAGTTGAAGACTCAGCGCGAGCAGCACGTCAAGGCCACCAAGGAGATGGAGAACGAGCACTGCACTGCGCTGGACGAAGCGGCCAACTGTGAGGCAGCACTATCAGCGCTGAAGACAGACCACTCCCAGCTGTTGGACAAGTATAACCACATTGTATACAGACACGCGAACCTACAGGAAGAGTTTCACGCGGCAGCCCAAGAGAAACGCAGTTTGGAGGACAGGTGCGCTCAGCTCACAACGGAGTGGGCAACAACCAGACGAGATCTCGCAGTCTTCGAGGAGCAGCAGGGCGCAGTGGGACAAAAGACCATGCAGGAGCTGCAAGAGCTGTGGCAAGCAAACCAGCAGTTGCAAGAGCGCTTTCGCCTGCTCAAGGATAAGCATCTCAAAGCTGAAGAACGGTTGGTACAGATGCCAACCCAAAAAGTGCAGGCCTCGATGGAACATGTCACCGAGGGCACTGGGGTACAGCGAGAACTTTGGAGGCACCAGCAAGCCGAGTCGAGATAAAGGAACTCTCTCGGCGGTACGAGTCCCTTTTGAAACAGTCTCGTGCCGAGGAGAACAAGTGGAACCAGGACAAGCAGCAGCAGAAACACATCGAGGACTTACAGGCGCAACCGGTACCACACCAAAGAAGCACATGGAACAGCAGAAACGAATACAGCTGCTGAAAACTATTTCCCTACAGTCTCAAACGAAGCTGCTGAAGACTATTTCCATACAGTTTCAAATGGCGAATCACTTGAACACATTTCCACGTCTACAAGGTCAACAGTATAACCAAAAAACAAGAAGTCGACGCGTTGTGGTGAAGCCGCTATGATACAGAGACTGACAAGTGCCGCGATCGCACTGCGTTATCTTCAAAAAAAGAAAAGAGAAAAGAAGAAGGGAGGCATGTTATGATGTCATGAGGCTTTCTGATCTTAGAAGAAGAGGACATCCAGTGAGCACGCTCGCAGGAGGTGACACGCGCTGTTGCGTTTGGAACTGACGAGCATTCGCCATAGCTGCCGCTTTGATCCCGTATGTATTTATTAAACAGTTTGCTTAAACCATCCTCCTCAGCTTAACTAGCAACATAACAAGGGTAACCATTTTGAGGGTAACTAACCCTCGTAGCCCTCGTGATCCTCGTGAGGGTAACCCTCGTGAGAGTAACCCTCGTAACCCTCACGAGGGCTACGAGGGTTACTCGCGGTTACGCCGACGGCGACCTCGGGGGTCACGGGACCTCGGAAGGTCACGTGACCTTGGGGGGTCACGTGGGGGTCACCTTGGGGGGGTCACGTGACCTTGAGGTGACCTAGGGGTGACCTTGGGAGGAGTCTCGTGACCTCGGGGTTCACGTGACCTTGGGGGATCACATGACCGGGGGGTCACGTGACCTTGGAGTGACCTTGGGGGGTCACGTGACCTACGGGTGACCTTGGTTACGCCGACGCCGCTCAAGCCGGAAACGGGCGCCTAAGAGCTACGCTCTAAAAAAAAAAACAAGAAAAAAAAATGCAGGAGATGTAGTCGGGACACTACAATCCCATACTCGTAAGGCGATATCTCGAATGGACGGCTGCATTTCTGGAAAAAGAGGTCGAGATTGAACCAGGCCGACGAGGCGCGTGACCGTCAAGAGATCTCGTTTCCTCCTCTTTTCGCTTCGCTCCCTCAAGGCGGCGAGGCAGAGAAGACGCGAGGCCGTTCCCTCTTCTTCTCGGAGAAACATGACATAAACATTTCTGTCAAATGCGCCGCCATTTTTTTGAAAAATACGGTCATCCGTTCGAGATATTGCTGTATAAGTGATGTTTTGGTGTTCGTAGAATCTCGGTGCACGCTTTTGCGGCGTGTTTTGTGGAATCCGGATTTCGGTTCAGAATCCCTTTAAGGGTCTAACATACTTCAATCTGTAGGAAGTATTGATTTAAGTGGCTGACTGTGAAATCTATCAGAAAAATTGGCGTCTGAACATGTAAAGCTCGAACCTTCACCAAAAGTATTTTTAGCAAGACATTTTATCTTTTGAAAGTTCAAGACGTAATTCCGCTCCTTCAAAAAATTAGAACTGTCGGGCTCCAAAGCAGACGATCGAGTAAACTGAGGCTTGTATTCGTAGTGCCATTTTCCGATGGACGCTGGAAACACGTTTTTTTTCACTTATTTCAAATGTACAACCGATTTTTAGTGATAAACTGCGTCCTAATATTATCTCAGCGGGTGGTTTTCACATGAGTTTAATGTATCGTGATATTGAAAAGGTGCAGTCCTCGTATTGAATAAATTCGCTGACGAAGGACGCCAACAATGAGGGCCTTTAACAAAAGTTAACGCGGCTCAATATATATATATATATATATATATATATATATTTAGAAAAAAAATTAAAATCGAAGGAAGCAATACGCATCAGCCAGCATGGAGATTCGAACGAATGATCTTTTTATGTCGCGCGCTCCGCGCTCGTGCTCAAACCGCGGCACCGCCGGGAGACATGGCGCTATCTATCGCTGGTTACTACATCTCTTTTCTCTGGAAACGTCAGTGTAGAGCGTCACCATCAACGTGGTTGGGGTATCGCTGCGGTAGACTTCTTTCCCTTGTTCCTCTTCGCGGCTGCGGTCCCGGGTGAGGCTGACTCTGGCTAAAGTCACTGGTACTCTGTACCGTGCCGGATGTGTCTTTCCCCGTGGAGGTCAGCTCTCGTTGAGAATCCGTCGCCATTCGTAAGTGTTCACGGTTCTTCGGTGGACCCGACCCCATGGGGTTAGAATGTGGTAGGACCTTGGCACTGGATGTCCCACGACTATGGCTGGTGACCATGTGCGCCGCAGGGTGTTGTAGACGGTGACTGTAGAACCCGTGTCAATGTCTGGCAGCGTTCGTGAGCTTCTATCATAGTTCGCCTCTTGTTGCCGCCTTATTTCTCTGAGACGACGTATGACAGCCCTGGGTGGCACAACAGCGGGCAAGTAATGTTCCGATCGCGCAGGTAACAGTGTTCTTGTGTGTCGGCTCATCAGTCTCTGTACTGGCGATTAGAGGACATCGTCTCGTGGAGTGTTGCGCCACTCAAGAAGGGAGCAGTTAAACTCTTTACTGTTGGCACTTTTTCGCAAGAGTTTTTTGGCCTGTCTCACGGCTCGTTCAGCCATGCCATTTGATCGAGCGTGGTAGGGACTTCATGTAACTTGTTCTATCTTGAGGTTTTCCAAGAACTGCTTGAACTCCCGGCTGCTAAATGGTGGGCCATTGTCGCTTATAATCTTCAACGGCAGTTCATGTGTTGCGAATACTTTAAGGCAGAACTCTTTGACTTTGGAAGCTCTGGTAATTTTCATTTCTTCTACCTCAAAATAAAATGAGTAAAAATCCACCAGGATTATGTAGTCTTTTCCTTCGTGAGTGAAGAAATCTGCCCCGACCAACTGCCAAGGAAGCGTTGGCAGTGCGTGGCTCAGGAGTGGCATCTTGAAGTTTCTTGATCTGCACTTCTCGCATTTGCTGCATTTGTCATGTTCGCGGTCAATGTCAGCGCTGATTCCGGGCCAGAACAAAATTTCTCTGGCTCTTTTCTTCATTTTGTCTTTGCCCGCGTGTGCAGTGTGGAGCAAGTTGAGAATCTTGAATCTGATGGCCGTTGGTATTATTATCTTGTTTGACCGCAGCACAAGGCCGTCTTCCTCGTGGATCTTCTCTCTGTAGGACCAGAATGGCCTTCCGAGTTGAAGGACTTGCTCTTTCTGCTCGGGCCATGACGTCTGTGCGTACTCGCGCAGTAGACGCGTCTGGACATCGGCTGCAGTTGCATCTCTTATTTCATTTAGCCGATCTTGCGTGACAGATATGTGCTCCAGTGCGTTGACTTGAAATTTCTCTTCTTCTTGCATTGTTTCCTTTGTGGGAAAGCGTGACAGTGCGTCCGCTAGCTGCAAGTCTTTTCCAGGTATGAATTTTACTTCCAATGAGTATCTTTGGAGAGCCATCTTCATCCGCTGCAGTCTTATCGGGCACTGATGCAACGGTTTTATGAAAATAGCCTGTAACGGCCTGTGATCGGATTCTACCGTTACCTAGGGTTGGCCGAATATGTAATGGTGGAACTTGCTGCAACCATGAACAATGGCCAGCATCTCTTTCTCGATTGGCGCATATTTCATTTGTGCGGCGGTCAAATATCTCGATGAGTACGCTATTGGTCTTCCGTCTTGGGTGATAACGGCCCCTACTCCGTGTTGGCTTGCGTCGACTGACAGCGTAATCAGCTTTTCTGCAGTGTAATAAGCCAGCACTGGTGCCTTCGTCAAAGCGTCTCGCAGGTCTTCGAAACTTCTTCATACGATCTCTTTCTTCGGCAGTTCTCGTAGTGGTGCCGCACGCTCGGAAAGTCGTGGTATGAAGCTCGACAAGTAGGGGATCATTCCGAGGTATGTTCGAAGTTCCTTGCGATCTTTTGGTTCATTGACCTCCGGTATGGCTTTGATTTTCTCTTGATCAACAGCCACTCCATCTCCATCCAGCACTTGTCAGAGGTAGCGGACTTCTGTCTTGGCAAATTGGATCTTCTTTGGGTTAAGTCGTAGATTCACCTCTCGGCAGCGTTGGAGCAAGTGTCGGAAGATTCTCGTCATGTACCTGGCGGGTCCCACCAATGCAACCATGTAGGAAGCAATACGCATCAGCCAGCATGGAGATTCGAACGAATGATCTTTTTATGTCGCGCGCTCCGCGCTCGTGCTCAAACCGCGGCACCGCTGGGAGACGTGGCGCCATCTATCGCTGGTTACTACAAAAATAAGACGCTGGTTTTGTATATAAACAAAGTAAAAAGATGACGTTTTGACAAACGCTTTTGCAAGAAACGTGATAGAATAAACTTGGTAGAAGAACCTCTCGACGCATGTTTCCAAGCATTAAAATGCACTGTCCGGGTTGACGCACTTACATGACCGCGTTTCAGCAAACTAATTGATTTGGTCGTAGTTTTTATTGGTACGATGGAGACCTACCATACATTTATAGGTTCTGTTGTCGGGAAAACCAAGTTGAGATCAAGCTCCCTTGCAGAGACCAGAAGCACAAGTCACTTCGAGAGCTAAATTGGACTTATTGCATGGGGTACAAAAGTATTGTAATTAAATTACAAAAAACATTAATTTTTTTTTGATAGGTACTAACAAGAACTCTAAAAGCAAGCCAATTATAATATGAATCTTACCATGGAGGTAGAACATTTATTTAGGCCAAGACTTAGTTTTTGTGTGGAAGTTTAGGGAATTAAAAATCTGAATAAACTTTGCAAGGTATATCCACCATTGCCCTTCTTTGGCCAAAAATTTTGTATCTTACCAAACTATTTGCCCAACAAGCGCTAAGGTTGTGTTTCACTGCTAGTATAGTTAGGCTGGAATCTCGAAATCTTTGGGACTAAATTGCCAAACAAGCGCCTGAATTAGACTTCACCGCTGGTTCTTTGGTTCATACGTGCCGCCTTTGGTTGAAGTCTGTCACTTTTGAAATAACGTCGCGAGCCGGAGAGAGCCATTAAGAACAACAAAGAAATGTACACTCTGGCAATAACTAACGTCTTGGAACGAAATCGTATTAGGCCCATATGTTAGACCCCTATGGTTGCCACGTTTGTGCCAAGTTAGGCTACCTGGTAAAGCGTCAGTTAGCTCCTGAAATTGTTTCTCAAAGAGTAGTTGTCTTGTTTCAGGAGACGAAAATGCCGTGTACCTTCCCACCGGATCCAGTGGACGCACAACTGCTAAAACGGAAGGTGAGTGCAACTTTGAAATGATATTTGTCTCACTAATAAGAAACCAGTTTTTTAACGATCGAGTACTACATTCAGTAAAAGAAAAATATGCAAAGAAAGTCCAATTTGACTTCTTTGATTAGCAAACGTCTTGTTACGACACAAATGTATTGATAACGTTTTATTGAAAAGAAATGGCATCTTAGTTGTCGCATGATAAGTAGAAACTCTGTAATACATTTTTGAGCAAATTGAAAAAAAAAAAAGAGATGGTTGATAATCTTCAAATAAAACCTCTGCTCATGCGTTCAAAAACTATCCTGTTGAGCATGTATGCACCCCAATCCAAGGTGCAGAAGGTGCTTCATATTTGTCAGGGTTGAATTAAAAGTTATAAAAACACTAGTATACAATAAAGAAAAGAAAAAATAAACACCGGAGAAACTGTGCGTGGTCAGTATTAGTGCTTTCCGCGTCGTAACATTTACACATAATATGCACGCGGCTAGACGCATTGAACACCAGTAGTCACAGGAGGTGACAATGTCGTTCCTCTCGAATTGATCAAACTCTTTTTTGTGCCACAACGACGACCGCACTTAATTCCTGTAGATATGCAAAGCAATAAAGTGAACTGAAATGCCGTTAAGGTAGGAAATTGCATGAAAGCAAAAATTCCGTGAAACAAAACGTACTTCGCTATCGCCAAAACGAAGGAGAAAAAAAAGTGGACAGAAATTGTTTACGCAAGGAGCTAATTTGAATGTTCTGCACATTAAAAAGGTAAATTTGTCGATTTTTAGCTACCCAAACGAACTACTATTACTGAATACCCACACTTTGGTATTTAAAGAAGGACACACTGCCTTTTTTAATTCAAAAGATCTATTGAGAAAGCGGCTTCGCAAAACATGTCATTGCAATGTTTTCGGACTTTTCAACGGCGTGACGTCAAAGACACGCATATTTGCAGCTCGAGCAGGCGGCCTAGAAAACAGAGCGTGTCTCGCACTTCTTTCGCGCCTGTAAGGTACCTGGAACGGGTCTCCGTATAATACGTTTAGCATCCTATCCGGGGCGCAAGTTCGTCTGCTTCTTTGGACGTCAGAACGACACCGAGCTCTGATTGGCTCTGCTGGAGAGACAGTGGGCAGACCACAGCAGCGCTGATGGATGTCTGTCACATCCACCAACGCTGCTTTGACTCAGCCAGAATCGAGGCCGGCGACAGAATGACACTCCTGAGGACGTCGTCCAGTGGAAATCGAGGGACCACTTCTTCGGGGCGCTGTAAACACACCAGCGGAGGTACGCGTTCAAGACACCATCGTGGTAATAGGCGGGTATACGGGGCGACTTTTTACAGAAATCATTGCACACGATCAAACCTTCTCGCAATATCCAGAAATAAAGTTCCTCTTCCCAAACGACAAACCTCAGCGTTGCGCGAGTGCTTCAGTCCTGTCGTGAGAGATATCTCGTTCGGAGGATGGTGCGAACCAAAACTGGCAATTGAAAACTTTCGCAAAACGCATGTTTCTATAGTACCTGGGGTACAAGTTCAGCCATGTTCATTGGTGGATTGAACCAACAGTAAAACAAATCAACGACCATTAAAAAAAAAAAAGTAAGATATATTTTTTTTCAACAATGTGAGCAGCGCAGGTTTAATGGTCCCGGGAAAATTTTACCGTGATTATCTTTCCAATCTCGGACCGTTATCAAAAGGGGTGATACCGCTTGTCTTGTGAAGGTTGATGAAGCGAAACAGGTAATTGTGCATTCGGGTCACGACAGAAGCCAACCTTTTTTGCTTCCAGTTTCGGCCATGCTGTTTGTGATTTAGAGGAAGGCCGGAGTACGTTTTTGTGACAGTGAAAGGTGTGGACCATAGAAATTGTACGAAATAAGGAAGAGTGGCGGTTGAAACTTTTCCATTACATTCTTAACCACTCCACGTCGCACGGCCGCGGGCTACATTGATGGAATAGGGTGGGATGACTACGAGCTTCCTAGCGACTACGTCCAGGAGCTTATTGATGTTGATGTATCGACGCTTATCGAAGCAACAATTTTGTGCGACTTTTGTCGTGGGAAAGACTCGTGTTGACAATGACAATATCCCCAACGCTAAATTCAACTGAAAATTTTCAATCGGTACAAGCGCGTTTTTTTTTTTATCTGGCATACGTTTACATTCGGTTGTTATTTATATATTAATTTTTAATAAAAAGCACTGCGAAATTAAACTCAGAATTTCGGTGAATCGGGAATCAAACAAATATAAACTCCCATGAATTACGAATCTTTGGCAAAAAATAAACTCCGAAAACACAGAACCCTACATATACGTAACAAACAAAAAAAGACGGTGCTGTGTGAACCAATATTTTAGCTGCTAATATAAAGGCAAGCAACACCGTAAAACAATCAAACAAATGTAAATAAAAAGAAAGCAGTTCAACGCAAACTATATACTCTGTTCACCCTTAAAGCAGCGATGCAACAATTTTTGTACTGTGCACAAATACCGCTTAAAACGGATCCCTAACGTTAATGACCCATGAAACACGCGTTCGTTTTTCACCCCACGCAATAGAAGTCCCAGAAAAAAATTTAAGAAAAACGAGCAGCGTTCACCCCCTCAACTCGCAGCCAGAAAAAGCGGCCACGTGATCTAGAGCCGATTATATGCCGCCAGTGTTGATCATAGCCACGCGCTGGGGTTGGCAAAGCGCAGGACACGCGCTGCCCAGGCAGCACCGAGTTCTGGGCCAAAACTTGGCTTGCGTCTGGCAGTTTAGGGCATTAAAAAGCCCGAAGAAGCCAAAGTAGTGCCAAACCTGACCTCCCTTGGCAACAGTCTGGGTATCTTGGCCCTAATTCGCCAAACAAGTGCCAAACTTAGGCTTCGCTGTCGGGTAGTTCGGTTATTATCTGGCATCTTCGGGCCTAAATCGCCTAACAAATGCCAGATTTAGGCTTACTGCCCGTTAGTTCGGCAGATCTTTGGCATTTTTGGGCCAAAATCGCCAAACTAATGCCAAAGTTAGGCTTCACTTTTTGACAGTTCGGCTGTCACCAGGCACATTCGGGCCGAAATCGCCACAGATGTGCCAAAGTTAGGCT